CCCCCCCCCCCCCCCCCTACATACAATATTAACACTATATTTAAATATAAATAAATAAATAAAACAACAAAAACAATTTTTTTTAATTATTCTTAACGAAACTGGATCTACCAATAATTTGTATATGAAGAAGAAAATTGTTGAATGACAATAAACATGTATAAGGTGGAATTAGTATGGCAAAGCAATAGCGAAGGCACCATTAATTGGAAAACGATAGATCACATACGTGTAGCATTTTGCAATGGCAAACGCTTAACCTTAGCACCGGGATCAACCACATCTTCCTCTCTACCACAAACAGCACCATGTCTCACCCAAAACCCTCTTCCAACCTTCTTCTTCTTCACCCTTCCATTCGTAGAGTTGTCGGTGACAACTTTGTTGTGGTTACTAGAACAAGACTCTACAAGCCTTGAAATGCTTTGCACTTCGTATTCATCAAGAAGGGACACTTTCTTGGTGTCCCCTTCGTTTTCTTCGTTTCCCATATTTCTCATTGCTTCTAACTTGTATCGCGAAGGCCTTGCTGCACGCCGAGTTATTGTAGCCTCAAACTCGGTTATTGTTTTCCCCTTTGAGTTAGACCCCGAGTTGTGTTGGTACCATGCCCATGCAGCGGCTTTCACAAAGGCTGAGTCGTCGTTGGTTGTCTTGTTATTGTTGTTGTTGTCGTCTTTTTTAGGCTTTCTTCTCTCCATGAGAAGGGTTAGAAAGGAAGGCTTCGTGGCCATGAGTGTGATGTGAGAATGTGTGGGAAAATTAAGTTCCACGCAATGCAATAGAGAAAAAGTGAGTAGGTTTGTTTGTTCAATTCATTTCATTCTCTGTTCTTGTGGTTGTGCACTTTCATGTGTCAAGAAAAGTATAAGTCACAATAACTAATTATAACATGGTTTGGCCCATGTGGTTGTCAGATAATTGTATTTAATCACTAGATGCGTGTGTAATTGTGCATGAAAAAACATCCATAAGAAGGGATAAGTCTTTTAGTATTTTAAAAAAAAAAAAAATTTATAATTATTTTATTGGTTTGAAAAAATTTCATTAAAGATTAATCTCTAGAGAAAATCTAACTTGATTGGATCTTCTTTCTAAATTTTTATCATCTACATGAGATCTTATTTGAGAAGGCTAACTTCAATATTACTCAAATCAATTATTAATTAATCTTTAATTTTAGACTAAAAAAAGGTAATTTTAATTTAGTTAAAAAAGAAAAAAGAAAAGAAAAGTATTCGAGAGGTTCTTGCACTGTGGTGGGCTGGGCTCAAGCTGGTCTTCCGTGTGGTGTTGTCAGAAATTAATGGGATCATTTAATTTGGACGCGTGTAGTGGGCCCACTGCGGGCCCTCCTACGAGAATAGGTTCGTTTGTTTGTTATATATGTGGGAAAGGTATATATTGTTCGTTGATGCTTTTTATTCTCATAATTTAATTTTATAAAAGAAGTCATTTTCATATAATAACGTGCCAACTTCTTGTAAGGTTTTTGAAGGTCACAACCACTGAAACCAAGATGTTTGCAATTCACCGGTGTCGTGTGATATATATGGAGTTATTATAATTTGTAAAAAGTTTGCGTGTGATAACTTCAGTTGTAATTTGCAAAATAGTGAGAAGTAATATATGTAAGTGATGAAAAATATTAAATTTCACTATTTATTTAAAAAAAAAATTATTAGTATAAAAGTTTATTTATACAATTTATTTATTTATTTCGAATTTTTTTTCCCACTCATCTAAATAAGAAGAGACAAAGTTTTCTATTTTTTCTTTTCATTTCTGTACATCCAAATAACCCATTTTCACTCTTTATTTTCTACTTTCTATCATTACTATTTATTTTTACATACAAGAAAAAAATTCCTTTTATTTTTTATTTTTTTTTTTCAAATTCACTTCTAATCCAAGAAGATCTGTGACGGAGAAATAAGTTAATTAACCGGATCAAAATTTGCCTCAACTCACTACCCGTTTTAAGAGTAAGTTGGAAATCCTACCTAAACTCAATCCTGCCTTGGGTTGCTTTGTCACGATTTTTTAAAATTAGATTATAAAAAGGTGATTAATTGATTGACCAGCCAAATAAATAAATAAAACAAAACAAATATAAATCATCCAAATATAACTATAAAATATCTCAACAACACTTTTTTATATACAAAATTCAAATTCAAAATCTTACTTAAACAAATCAAGTTTAATGACACTTGAATCAATAAGTAATGTGAATAAAATTCAAATTGATTTGAATCAATCCAATCTATTTTAAAAGATTCGATTCATTTTGAGAAGAAAAAAATCCGAATTAATTTATTATGTAAAATCGATTCAATTCTTGATCCATTTTTATAAAGTGCATTGATTTAGTTCGATTCAATTTTTCTATAAAAAAAAAATCAATTCATATGTAGGTATAAAGTCAATAATCGCATTGTATTAAATTGATCCGATTTTAAAAAAATTGATTCATATTTTTAAAAAATTGAATTAATTTGGTTTATAAAATTGAATCATTTAATCAATCTACTTTTATAAAGTAGATGATTCAATTAAAATTTTTAAAAAAATTGGTTCATGAACATCTCTATTAACAACTTGTTGGTCAACCTACCTATTTAGTTTGTTAATGCTCCTTGTAATATCATATTATCACATATCAATATTTAAGTGACACATAATAAAAAAAAATTAATTTATAAAGATAATGAATGATATTTAGTTACATGTCACATAAAAATTGAATTAAATTTATAGATCACAATGAATGAAATTTAATTACACATTTTTTTCATAGACAAAATTTAAACTCAAAATATTACTTAAAAAGATCAAATTCAATATCATTTAAATTAATAATTTGTTAGTCGATCTACAGTAGAAACTCTTTAAATTAATACTCGGTAAATTAATAAACTCTTTAAATTAATACTCGGTAAATTAATAAACTCTTTAAAATAATAAATTTATCCAGTCCTGATTTGGGTCAATGTAAAAAATTGAAAAACTCGATAAAATAATAAGATAATAATTTTTCGGGAGATCCTTTTATAAATTTCGGTCCCAAGAAAATCATAAATTAATAATTCATAGAAACTGAAAAAAATATATTACACTCTATTGAAATATGATTCGATAGTTGTCTGTTTTCCTTTAAAGTTCAAGTCTATTTGGAGCTCATCTCTAACTTTTCTTATTGCATCCAATAGCTCAGGTGTTGTATTTTTGTATTGTATCATAAAGTTGTGAAGAGTGTTCGACGCCATAAGTGCTTTCTTTCGCGTAACAGATGCTTCGAATAACATTTTGATTTCCATGATTTTAATATTGAGACGTAAAACGAACGAATTATAAGAAGATATGGCACAGAACAATTAATACACACTTTTCTTTTATAGCTATTCAAAGCCCCTGATTTGTACCAGTTGTCATTTGTGGCAAATATGCTTCGAAAAGAGTAGAGAAAAGAGAGGAAAATACCTATTATTAGGAAACGTTAGGATACTAAAAGATAATTGCAGTAGAAACTCTTTAAATTAATACTTGGTAAATTAATAAACTCTTTAAAATAATAAATTTGTCCGGTCTTGATTTGGGTCAATGTAAAAAATTGAAAAACTCGATAAAATAATAAGATAATAATTTTTCGGGAGATTCTTTTATAATTTTCGGTCCCAAGAAAATCATAAACTAATAATTCATAGAAACTGAAAAAAAATATATTACACCCTATTGAAATATGATTCAATAGTTGTCTGTTTTCCTTTAAAGTTCAAGTCTATTTGGAGCTCATCTCTAACTTTTCTTATTGCATCCAATAGCTTATTAGGTGTTGTATTTTTGTATTGTATCATAAAGTTGTGAAGAGTGTTCGACGCCATAAGTGCTTCCTTTCGCGTAACAAATGCTTCAGATAACATTTTGATTTCCATGATTTTAATATTGAGACGTAAAACGAACGAATTATAAGAAGATATGGCACAGAACAATTAATGTACACTTTTCTTTTATTGCTATTCAAAGCCCCTGATTTGTGCCAGTTGTCATTTGTGGCAAATATGCTTCGAAAAGAGTAGAGAAAAGAGAGGAAAATACTTATTATTAGGAAACGTTAGGATACTAAAAGATAATTACAGTAGAAACTCTTTAAATTAATACTCGGTAAATTAATAAACTCTTAAAAATAATAAATTTGTCCGGTCCTGATTTGGGTCAATGTAAAAAATTGACAAACTCGATAAAATAATAAGATAATAATTTTCCGGGAGATCCTTTTATAATTTTCGGTCCCAAGAAAATCATAAATTAATAATTCATAGAAACCGAAAAAAATATATATTACACTCTATTGAAATATGATTCAATAGTTGTCTGTTTTCCTTTAAAGTTTAAGTCTATTTGGAGCTCATCTCTAACTTTTCTTATTGCATCCAATAGCTTATTAGGTGTTGTATTTTTGTATTGTATCATAAAGTTGTGAAGAGTGTTCGACGCCATAAGTGCTTCCTTTCGCGTAACAAATGCTTCAGATAACATTTTGATTTCCATGATTTTAATATTGAGACGTAAAACGAACGAATTATAAGAAGATATGGCACAGAACAATTAATGTACACTTTTCTTTTATTGCTATTCAAAGCCCCTGATTTGTGCCAGTTGTCATTTGTGGCAAATATGCTTCGAAAAGAGTAGAGAAAAGAGAGGAAAATACTTATTATTAGGAAACGTTAGGATACTAAAAGATAATTACAGTAGAAACTCTTTAAATTAATACTCGGTAAATTAATAAACTCTTAAAAATAATAAATTTGTCCGGTCCTGATTTGGGTCAATGTAAAAAATTGACAAACTCGATAAAATAATAAGATAATAATTTTCCGGGAGATCCTTTTATAATTTTCGGTCCCAAGAAAATCATAAATTAATAATTCATAGAAACCGAAAAAAATATATATTACACTCTATTGAAATATGATTCAATAGTTGTCTGTTTTCCTTTAAAGTTTAAGTCTATTTGGAGCTCATCTCTAACTTTTCTTATCGCATCCAATAGCTCAGGTGTTATATTTTTGTATTGTATCATAAAGTTGTGAAGAGTGTTTGACGCCATAAGTGCTTCCTTTCGCGTAACAGGCTCCAAAGACACTGTATCATCTTCGCTGTCATCCTCTGCATTGTTCTCAATGATAGTACCCACAATATCTTCTAAACTCTGAACCTCCGAACATGCTTCATTTTCACCTGGGTAGTTCATTAGATTGTCGATATCCATCTTATTACGATAACCACATTAATTGATCATAGTCTCGAGGTCTTGAGTTTCTTCATCAAAAATTGATTCATCCAAATTTCTTGCAACGTCACTAGCTGAACGAATTTTACAGTGTCGGAAGTAATTCGCTATTGTTTCTCTTGTTTACATTGAACACATTTGTTCCTCTTGTTTATATTTACTGTACTTCAAAAGTCATTATTGATTTTCAATGCATATGTATTTCAAAAGTCATTACGTATTGATTTTCAATGCATATGTACTTCAAAAGTTACTAATTTACGTTGAGTTCCAAGGTTCGCTGCAACGTAATTCTAAGAGGCATAGACTAATTTGCCTTTTGGTTTGGTATGTACAGTATAATTACTTAAAAACTCTTTAAATTAATAATTATTAATTTATCGATAAATTAATAACTCTCTAAATTAATAAATTTCTCCGGTCCTGACATTATTAATTTAAAGAGTTTCTACTGTAGTACTTCCATTTTCGGTTGTAATTTTATGTCTAACTTAGAAGATTGAATTCTAGTATTTGATTAAGGGGCATAATAATTAACTATTTGTGTTAATAATTTTTTTGAGTACTTGCAATGAGGTTAAAACTAAGAGAAATGTACTTTTGCATTCAGTTGAATCAAGCTGTAAGCTACTCATTGACAAAAATCACTTGATATACACTTGAAAAATTGCAGTTTTTGGCTGGATACATGAGTTTTCTCTAAACGAACTAAACTAGGCTTAGAAGTGCCTGTTATTATGTTATCATGCTGTTTTTAAACCAACTGCCTCGTCATCCACTTGTTATGCACACGATGAGCTTGAGCTTGAGCGGCTGGATATTCCTGACATCCACTCTCGTCAAAACGACGAAATGACTTTATGCCATGTCGGTGCTTGAATTTCCCAACCCTTCCTATAGAGAAGTTAAAATCTGAAACATCATGAGGGTACACGAGTTTCATTGTATCTCTTGCCTTCTGCAAAATTAATTCTCCTGTGATATTCACACGTTCTTGATGCTGGAGAAACCACTCATAAACAACCTTCTCCATGTCAGGATATTTTGCTGGTTTGTGTCTTTTGATCTCTGCTCTTCCCTTTTTCTATTTCAGCAGAGAGATAGTCATCTGACCGCTTAAGTGTGTTTGATATTGTTCTTTGACTAACTTTCAAATGAAATTTTCCCTCAAACCATCTCTGCAAGTCTTTTTGTGTGCTTACAGGATTATCTCTCTTATACTCACACAACTCCTTAAGTATTTGATCTGACATAGTTGATTTTGCAACACCTTTTAGATGAGAAGCCATCTTGTGAGATATGGTTTGAATACTCTAACACATTCATGTAATTTATATATGCCAAACTTACTTAAGAATACATTGAACACATTTGTTCCTCTTGTTTACATTTACTATACTTCAAAAGTCATTATTGATTTTCAATGCATATGTACTTCAAAAGTCATTACGTATTGATTTTCAATGCATATGTACTTCAAAAGTTACTAATTTACGTTGAGTCCCAAGGTTCGCTGCAACGAAATTTTAAGAGGCATAGACTAATTTACCTTTTTGTTTGGTATATACAATATAATTACTTAAAAACTCTTTAAATTAATAATTATTAATTTATCGATAAATTAATAACTCTCTAAATTAATAAATTTTTCCGGTCTTGACATTATTAATTTAAAAAGTTTCTACTGTATTTATTTAGTAAATAAATTAATACTCGACATAATATCATATTATTACGCATTGATATTCATGTGACCCATAATAAAATTTTCAATTTATAAAAGATAATAAATCATATCTAATTACATATCACATAAAAATTGAATTAAAATTATATATAAATTTATCCATCTAGCAAGTCAAATGAAATAATCCAATGAGTTGATTATTTTACAATCATTTAAAAAACATATATTTAACTGCTAGTCAGAATTTGACCATGAGAGAGTTATTCGTATATATTAAGAAAGTCTCAAGTGTAACATATGGTGATTTCTAAAGTAATAAAAGTGTAGTTTTTTTGGGTACTTATGGTTTCTGGAGAATGGTTGTCTCTGCAATCATGGAAGTGACCACGTAAGGATCCATGTTAGAAGAAGGCCTCCTGTCCTCAAAATAGCCCTTCCCTGCCTTCTCTGTGTCCCTCCCTACCCTTATAGAAGCACCACGGTTTGCAACGCCCTGCATGCACAACACAATCATAACAATCGATTATACTACGTTATAATCGATTATTCATATAGTTTTTATATAAGTTCGGTTCCTTAATAATATTTTGTTGCTTACCCACAAGAAGGTGTTCATGTCAGCTGTCTCGTGTTGTCCAGTCAAACGACGTTCATTGCCTTCTCCATAAGCAGCAATGTGCTCCTTGTGTCTCTTTTCCAATTTGCCAATTGCTTTTTTAATAACTTCAAAGCCACCCTCGTTTCTCATGGACTTGGTACTGCATGTAACATATAATATATCATCCACTTGTTAAATGTTAAGCCTCAAACCAAAAATGACACTATGTTAATTACTCATTCTTTAAGTGATAAAGATTACCTGTAATTCGTATGAGCACCAGCACCATTCCAATCTCCCTGGTTTGTAACCACTCAACCAAAATGACACGAATCAATATCGATATCGCCACACAAAATTCATTAACCATATATATAAAAAGAGTATCCGGTGACAATAATATATGAATGTTCAAGATTATTTTACTTAAATTTAATTTTAACCAAATGTTTTGATCCTGCATAGAAAAAAAAAATTGAAAGCAGATTAGTATGGGATTATCCACCTTAATCGGTTGAGGGTCAATGGAAAGCACCACCCCAGCAATCTCGGTGATTCTCTGTTAACACAAAGTGAGAATTAGCTGAAATATTTACAAATTAAAGGAAGAATTTGATGACAGTAGTGAGAGTAGTGATATGCTAAGTACCTCCAAAATGTAACGTGCAACCCACAACTCGTCACTGGCAGAGATGCCAACCGATGGACCAATTTGAAATTCCCACTACATATCATCACGAATGGATTGAAATAAAAGGAGTTAGAATTTTATAAAAGGATATATTGGATTAAAAACAAAAGATATGAAATATAAGTGTTTCAGCGAGCATGGTCCTCCACACCAGAAAAAAGAAAATCATCAACATTGTCTTAAGCAGAAGGTTACATAATATGCACACAATCTACGGTATGCATAAAATATAAAATATAAATTTAAACTTTATTATTTTCATTGAAATCTCTACTATTAAAAAATTAGGAAAAGAAACTGCATATGTCACACTGAATTAATTACGTCAACCTATATATAGACCCACATTAATGCGCAAAAAAAAAAAAAAAGACACTTACATTATAAAAAGGCTGTACACAACAACGGATATGACAAGTGACAATGTCGAGCAATGCAACTAGCGGAGTGTCTAAAGTTTAGTGTCGGCTAAAACATTTTTTTGAATGTGAATTTAAGTTAAATTTAATTTTACAAATTTGCTGATATGAGATCTCTGATATACTCTAACTACCTTAAAAACTAAAATCTTAGGTCAAAAGTTTACATGAGTGGAGTTTGGAAGGGAGCTTGTGACTAAACTCCACATTAGTTGGAACAGTAAGGTTGAAGAACAGTGAACGTGAAAATTCTATTTAAAATTACCTGACCAGGCATCACTTCTCCATTAATCCCAGTAATATTAATGCCCGCATAAACACAGGCTTTGTAATGTGAGTCAACAATTTCACGCCCGAAAGCCTTGTCAGCACCAGTACCACAATAGTATGGTCCCTGTAAAAAACAACATAGAATACATAATACATGTAACAATAAGTCAATAACAAAACATAACAGAGAATTAGCATAGTAAGTCAGCCATTAAAACACCAACAAGATTAAATTGGTTCCAAAATTCAATAACCTTTCATACAGAAAATTTTACCTCATCAATAAAATGTATACATAAATAATTGTGGTCAACACAATATTTTGTAAGTGAACTGAATCCTTTAATGAATGTCATTCCAAACAAATTTAGATTGTCCATCCAATTTTCCATTTAAAAGATTGAAAAGCAAATTTTCACCTGCGGCCCAGGAAAACCGCCAATAGGCCAACCAAAAGGCCATTGGACATCTTTCTGCAACAAGGTGTATTCCTGCTCAATGCCAAACCTATTTAGAGTTCATAAAGCAACTTTTAGTTGAGAAAAAAAAAATCGTAGTAAAAGGTGATTAGAAACTAAGGAAGCAACAATAGAAACCATACCAGGGTTCTTCAGCAACAACATCAGGATGGCTTAATATCTTTGCAGCATTATGTCTCTTGTTGGTAGGAATGGGTTCCCCAGCAGCAGTGTAAGCATCACACATAACCTGAAATCAATTGCAATTGAAAGATTAATGGTTGCACCATGGAGACAAGTTTAACTGAAGAAAAATGTACTGATTACATACCAGGATATTGTTACCCCTCCTGAATGGATCCTTGAAAATTGCTTGTGGACTGTTGTATTCGATTAAGATACACAACATTAACAAGCAAAGTTTGGAAATAACCAATCCTAAATATGTAATATAACAGTACAAATTTAACAGAAAATGAAACAAAATTTAAAAGTATATACTTGGAAAAAATGATCGCGTGGAGTTAGGAAAAGAAAAAAAAAAAGGCTTACTATAAGATCACTTCACTATCTTGTCCAGGAGCTTGACCAGTGCTGGAACCATCATAGCTCCACTTGGGAAGCTTCGAAGGGTCGTTAACCGATCCCGAGAGAGTCTATATCCAAAATCATTTGATAATTTGCATTAGTTACCAGCCAAATAAACAAGCTGAAATTAATACATACTTTTTTAAGCTGGATGAGATACTCAATTGGAAAAACTTCTTGAAACTATAAAGATATTTTTAATAATTTTAAACAATTAAGCTGTTTAAAATATCCAAAAAAAAATTATTGGACAAAAAAAAATTCAATTTTCATCTTTTACTTATGGTTACAAAAGTGAAAGTAAATTACCCTTGCTTTGCTCCTCATGTCGATACCAGATCCACCGATCCTATCATAATGAAAATAAAAGGGGGTAAGCGTTGATAAAGAGGGGAGAAAGCAATTTAAAAAACAAGTTAGAAAATAAGCATGTTAGTTGAATTCGATGAGAAACAGAGCAAGGAGTTAATGCTTACGTAGAATGAGTATAAATAGTAATTTTAGTAAACCCACAAACAAGCTAAAATCATAAAACTGTTCTAGCTAATTTTTGTCTAACCGCGACACAATGCAAACAAGCCAAGGAAGCCTCTTTCGAAACATTTCATCAACAAATTAAATCACAATCACAATAACACTTACTCATAGGCCTTCTTCTAGTAACATAATTTAATACAATTGATAAATAAATATGCTCCTTAAGAATGTATAAAAAATTCGATACTTAACATATGAAAATTCCAAAGAAGTCAATCTTTTAAATAGATCTTCATTCGTAGATGGAAAGGTTATTCTTTTTCTCCAATTGTAGCAGACAAACAATTTAAGGCATGATCATCTATAGTTTAAAACCAAGCACGATCACCAAAGGACAGAGTCGAAGCAGAGGAAACGTTGTTAGATTTATGGTCAAAGAGAGGGAGAAAATCATAAAACCAAAACAATATTATTCAAGTAAATTTACTGAGGAAACAAAAATAATTAAATGTAATAAGGAATATAACATAATAACATCATGGCAATTGGCAAACACGTGCACTTTGACGTAAAATAAAAGGAAAAGAGAAAAACAAGGGAAATAGAAGAATCCAGAGAGTATTAGAGAACAATGTAATGGATCAAAAGGAAGATACATAAAAATAAATCACACCCATGAAAAAAATTATAAAAAAAAAAACATAAAGAGAATCATTTTTCCAACACACCTCACGTACATCCATGCACATGAGAAAGACAGAAGCATGGCATATTGCAATGCTTGTGTATACGTGAAAGAGGTTAAGGTTGAAAAATAGAGGGAGACACTAACCATATGTACTCGGCGATCACCTTCTCTGTGATGTCTAAGAGATTAAGGTTGATTAGATCGGAGAGTAACGACGACATCTTTAAGCAATCACAACCTTCAGCTGAGACTCTTCAGAGAGAGAACTTTTTTTTTACACCATGTTTGCCTTTTTTTAAAATAATTAATTTCTGTTAAGGTATCTAATTCAGCAACTTTAGTCGATCTCTCTTCGCAATCACTTTTTTTCATCCACATACTTGTTTAAGGATCTGACCCTAATTTCGCTTATGACAAATGACATATTGGTTCTAATGCAATCTCTGAATTACTAAAACAAAATTTACAAATATTATTGCTCTGATTTAAATAAACAAGAGTATCGCTAGAGTTAGAAATGGATACAGTATAGACTTGTAGCCGCTAATGGAATTACCCATTACCCCTTTTAAAAATTTGTTAAGTTTTTAGTAACTAAATAAATGTATTTTACAGAAGATTATACGTGCAATTTAGCTAACTAAATAAATGTATTTTAAACTTGCAAGGGAGAGAAATATAAGTCATCCAGATTAAAAAATGGTTATTATACACTCATTTTTTTTCTTTTAAAAATCTTATTTTCAATTTTTATTTTCTTTTTCTATCATGTCACTATAATATGTATTACTATATCTCTTTTTCTTTTTCTTTTTCTTGCTATCTCATTCTTTCCTCTGCCCAAAATTTCGTGGTCCTTTAGTTATTTGCAGTGTGGACGAACCATTATCAAACCCATTATTAAGCCGGGTAGAGTTATGCAGAAGTTAATTGGTGAAAGAGAAATGCTAAGATGCTTCACAAAAATATCAGCATCAAATAACAACATAATATTAATAATTGAGGGCCATTACATTATTTGTAACACTTTAAACGTACAGTTCGTAAGGGAATGAAACAACAGTTAATCTTCCCTTGGAAATCAGTAGCAGCAACAAACAAGGCCTAACAACAGTGGGAACAAGATCTCAAAGAAAGCTTAGAAAAAGAAATTGACCATCCCAACATAGAAACAACGAAGGACACACGTGTGTGTTTCTGAGGCTGCTTATGGTTTCCAGAGAATGGTTGTCTCTGCAATCATGGAAGTGACAACATAAGGGTCCATGTTAGACGCAGGCCTTCTATCCTCAAAATAGCCCTTCCCTGCCTTCTCAGTGTCCCTCCCTACCCTTATAGAAGCACCACGGTTTGCAACGCCCTGCATGACCATAACAATCGATTATTGTACATTATAATCGATTATTCACATAGTTTTAAATAAGTTTGTTTCTTTAATATTATTTTGTTGCTTACGTACCCATAGGAAGGTGTTCATGTCAGCTGTCTCGTGTCGTCCTGTCAAACGACGTTCATTGCCTTCTCCATAAGCAGCAATGTGCTCCTTGTGTCTCTTTTCCAATTTGCCAATTGCTTTTTTGATGATTTCATAGCCACCATCGTTTCTCATGGACTTGGTACTGCATGTAACATAATATATCATCCACTTGTCAAGTATCAAACCAAAAATGACATTATGTTAATTATTAAGTATTAACTAACCCATTCTTTAAGTGACCACGATTACCTGTAATTTGTGTGAGCACCAGCACCATTCCAATCACCCTGGTTTGTGAGAACAACACCAAATGACACGAGTCAATATCATCACACCAAATTCAATAACCACAACCATCAACCATGTATTAAGAGTATAATGTTTAATATTCATTTACTTAAATTTAAATTTAACGTGGCCTCAGTTTTTGTGTGCCAAAACAAGAATAGAAGTTGGGGGAAAAATTGAAACGGGATGAGTATGGGATTATCCACCTGAATTGGTTTTGGGTCAAAAGAAAGCACCACTCCAGCAATCTCAGTGATCCTCTGTTAACACAAATAAGGATATTAGCCACAATATTAAAAAAAAAAATAGTCTTTTTCTAAAAAGTTAATGTTAAGTTAGTCATGTGCTTATTTAGTACCTCCAAAATGTAACGAGCTACCCACAATTCGTCACCAGCAGAGATGCCAACCGATGGACCAACTTGGAATTCCCACTACACATCATGAAGAATGGATTGAATTATAAAAGTTATAATTAAAAGACAACAATATATTAGAGGGAAAAAAGATATGAAATATAAGGGTAAAGAATGATGAATATGAAGATCATGGTTACCTGTCCGGGCATCACTTCTCCATTAATTCCACTGATGTTAATGCCTGCATAAAGACAGGCTTTGTAATGTGAGTCAACAATATCACGCCCGAAAGCCTTGTTAGCACCAGTACCACAATAGTATGGTCCCTGTTGAACAAGTAAAAAACAAAATGTAACAATGAGTCAATAAAAAAACATAACGAAGTTAATTAGCATAATAAGTCACAAGACTGAAGAGTCAGCCATAAAAACACTAATAATTTAAAATTGGCTTGAGAAGTTTATACCCTTTCATAAAAAGAAACATATATGGTGTCAATAAAATGTATACATTATTAATCAAAAGCCTAATTTAAGTAACGATATTAAATGAATGTCATACCAGACAAATTTTATACATAAGACACCAAATCTTGCATTTTAAGGATTGAAGAATACGAATTTTTACCTGGGGCCCAGGAAAACCACCAAGAGGCCATCCAAGAGGCCATTGGACATCTTTCTGCAACAAGGTGTATTCCTGCTCAAGGCCAAACCTATTTGGACATCACATCATGCAGTAATGTTTGGTTTAGAAAAAAAGGGGGAAAATCGTAGTAAAAAGTCATTAGAAACTGCAAGGAAGCAACAATAAATACCATACCAGGGTTCTTCAGCAACAACATCAGGATGGCTGAATATCTTTGCAGCATTGTTTCTCTTGTTGGTAGGAATGGGTTCCCCAGCAGGAGTGTAAGCATCACACATAACCTGAAATCAATTTCAATTGAAAGATATGACATGATCAATCCATGGAAACAAATTTAACTGAAGAAAGATTTACTGATCACAAATAAAATAGTGGACAAGAAGAAAAATACCAGGATATTGCTACCCCTCCTGAATGGATCCCTGAAAATTGCCTGTGGACTATTGCATTTGATTAAGATACACAACATTAGTAGGAAAATATTGGAAAATAACTAATCCAAATTTACCAAAAAAATGAAACAAGATTCAAAAGTGTATACTAAGAATAGATGATCAAATGAGAATAGAAAAAGGGCTTATTGTACAAAAAATAAATAAATAAAATTAATTAATTAATAACATAAAAACTTACTATAAGATCACTTCACTATCTTGTCCAGGAGCTTGACCAGTGCTGGAACCATCATAGTTCCACTTGGGAAGCTTTGAAGGGTCTCTAACTGGTCCTGAGAGAGTCTATATCCAAAATCATTTTACATTTCCATTGGTTAGTAGTTACCAGCAAAATATATAAAACCTGAAATTAATACACACTTTTCTCGTTTTATTTTAGGACAAGTGAATGATTTTAATAAGGTTATTTTAATCATTGAGAATTTCTTTTAAAGTTATTAAATTTAAAATAAAAATAGAGACAAAAATGATAAATGAAAATAAATAAGACGTTAAAGAAAAGTTCTTAAAAGAAACTAACAAACAAAACTTCTGTATAGGACGAATGAGGAACGCACAAAAAAGAAAGAATATACCTAACGTGGAGTGGGGTCATATTTTAAAAACAAATATTAATTTAAAAATTGGGAAAATTTAAACAAACTTGAGAAAAAAATGATTATTCGCGTGGTTTATTTGAAATCCATCTCATAAAAAGGTCATTTTCCTTTAATAAAAATAAAAAGAGTTCTATAGAGACCTAGTGTGAAGGAAGATTATAAAAAAAAATTAATAATTTTCAAACAATAAGACTGTTTAAAATTAAAAATTAAAAATTTATTGGACAAAAAATTCAATTTTCATCTTTTACTTTTGGTTACAAAAAGGTGAAGTAAATTACCCTTGCTTTGCTTCTCATGTCCATGCCGGATCCACCAACCCTATCATAAAGAAAGTAAAAGAGTGTTAAGTGTTTTTCTTTCTTATGTTTACAAAGTCAGCAAAATCAAACCTAAATTTCCATGCATATACTTCAATCTTTGATCACTAGCTCAATTCTAATAAAGGTGGCAAGTGTTGATTAAGGGTGGGGAAAATTGAAAATAAAATAAATAAATAAAAAAACTAGAAAAATACATTAGCATGGTATTTGAATTAGACCAGAAACGGGGGAAGGAGTTAATGTAATGCCAATGTGGTGTCAATATGCACATTAAAGTATGGACTCTGTAATAAATGAAAAACAAACGACACGCAAGCTAAAACCATAAAACAGAAAAACAGGGGAAACAGAGTAATAGTACAGAGTCTAGTAGATAGCTCTGTGATCAATCAAATGGAAGATGAGCTAAAACAAAACACACCCATTAAGAGAATAATTGTGGCACACGTACATCCATGCACGTTGGAACGCATAGAAGCGTTCCAATGCCATATGCAAAGTTGTTCTGTTTTTACGTGCAGGAGCAGGGGAAACAGAGGAAATGAGTATGTAGGGAAAAACAAAGAGAAGCACTAACCATATGTACTCGGCGATCACCTTCTCCGTGATGTCGGAGAGATTAAGGTTGATAAGATCAGAGAGTGACGACATCTTCAAGAAACCAAAACTTTCAGCGGAGACTCTTCGTACACACAATTTTTCTCTTTCTCTTTTCTTCTTCTTTTCTTCGTTTCACACACTCGATACAAGGTTGTTGCCGCGTAGTGTGGGTTTTATAGTGCTATCTCTCAATTACCAGAACAAAATTAACAAATGTTTAAAATAACTTTTTAATGATAAAACAGACTTTTCCCTCATAGAGTGCGGATCCTTTAATTAATTTTTTTTTTTTAGCTATAAACAGATAATGCTGTTGTTCAGTTTTTATCTTAACTATGGTAGAATTTTTTAGCTCCGATGTTGGGTTATAGCAATAATGTTTTATAATTCTATAGTGATTTATTTATTTATTGCATATTGTTGAAGCTAGCTCTTGCAAGCATGTATGTATTGCTGTGTACTTGAAATTAATGTGTTATTTAAACCCCAAAGGTCATTTCATATATTTTTTTTTAAATAAAATTAAATTATCTATTTAGACGATTTTGCCGTTTCAACTTCATTAATTACGAGATATTTTCTTTTTGCTCCCTCATATAAACATTCTAATTAGTGATAGACTATACTTTAATAACCCTAATTAGATTAGTGATGGACTATACTGTAATAACCCTAATTAGGATTTAAATATTAGACTTTGATATAATTTTAATCATTTAAATTTAGAATAAGTTTATTTTTAATCTCTTAATATAAAATTAAATTTTTTAATCTTGTAATTTCAAAAGGATGTGTTTTAGTCTCTTATGATCATCTACAAATGATAAGTTGATTTAGTTGTGTAGTATCAATTAAGTTTGATATAATTTTCATAAATAATGATACTAATAAATTAATTTTGTGTCAAATTTACTAGTGTTATTTGGATAGGTTGAAAAAAAAAACTTTTAAAAATTTATAGAGATTGAAAAATAATTTTAAATTTGAATGATTAAAAATATATTTTTTCTCAAGTATGATGAATTAAAAATACATTTAAACTTAAATATCATAATTAATGTATCTATATATAAAGAGAGCTTGGGATCATATTTGATATGTTGTGAGGAACACTTTATATTTGGCTTTATATAACTTTTTTTATGAATAAAATAATTTCAATGACGACGATATATATTAAACATAAATTTTTATGTATTTATTCCAATTTCACCATTAGGTCAATTTCAATGTTATTTTATATACTTTTCTAATTACACTAATTTATATATGTATAAATCTTAAAGGCTTAAATATGTTTTTAGTCCCTCAAATTTAGGATAAATTTGTTTTTGGTCTTTCAAATTTAAAATTATTGGTTTTAGTCCCTGTAATTTCAAAAAATCTTATTTTAGTCCTTATATTCAAATTTTGTTAAGAAATTTATCAAACATTATTGCATAAAATCTACCTATTAGTGTCCTTATTAGTGAAAATATCACATTAAATCCGGTTGATATTGCATAACTATATTAATTAGTGATTTTCAAATATGTTATTGATGACCTAAGGGACTAAAATAAAATTTTTGAAAATTACAGGAACTAAAAATAACAATTTTAAATTTGAGGGACTAAAAACAAATTTGTCTTAAATTTGAGGGACTAAAAACACATTTAAGCCAATCTTAAATCATATTACATTTGAGTAAAGAATAACAAATTTAACTTCCTAGTGAAAGATTGAAAACTTTATTCTTTAAAAGAAAGAAATGTTTATGAAACCTACTCTATTAATATCTATATTAAGTGCTAAATTGGCATATTAATTAAATGCCGCATAGAATGCATATTTGGCACAATAATTCAGTCCTTGAATGATTAGAAAATGAAAACGATGCACATTTTGTGTTCCCTAAATTATTACAACATGAGAAACGACGTGATTTGTAAGAATTGTATATCTAGAAGATTCAATTTTTGTTATTCATTTTCCATCTCAATTTCCATTGACCCTTTGTAACTTCATCTCCAAGAAAATCAGACATAGAATGCATGCAATCTCTACTCAAAGGAGAAGATTGTAAAGAGGCTCCAAATTGAAGTCCTTGTTGGCCTTATGTTCATATCCACAGTCATCCTTTGAGGAGTCAAGTTTTTGAAAGTTTGACTTTTTCTCCAAAGAGTTCATAGTATTTTGGTTAGTTTGATATACATGATGCTTGTGGTTCCTATCTTTTTATATAGTGTAATGTTTCCTTTATTTAGGGTTTACTATGTTATGCTTTATTATCCATTTATGTTTCTGGCATTCTCATTTATATGGTTTTTAATTTGGTTGTGCACATCGTGGAGTAGAACATATAGCATGTTGCATGTATGTCCCTTCTATGATACCTCATTTTTAATTTATGTTTTTGTTTATCTACTTACATGTCCAATGAAGTAACACTTGCACCTTTTTAGTTTTAAGGTGGAAAATGGAAATTACAAAAATTTATGAAAAAGGAAAACTTGAAAACATTTTTAATACATTTTCTTTTATATAAAATAGATCGATTGTCTCATACCTCCTATCTCTGTGGCCAAAAATAACAAAGGGAAAAGGAGAGAGACTGAAAAAGTTGAAAAGAGATGATAAAGAAGTTAAAAAACAAAAAAATTGACAGATACAGCGGATCAGAAAAAAAGTGGGATAGGGAGAATCCAATTCTGTTTGTTGACCAAAAAGTTGAATGATGTCCCCAAAAAAAAGTAAAAAAAATAAAATAAAATAAAACGAAAATTAGAATTACTAATTTGATTCAAATGGGAAAATTTTGAATTGATTTAATTTGAATTTAATATTATTCTCAAATTAATCTAAAACAAACTATAATTTTTTTATTATCAAATCAATCAATTATTTTTACCTCAAATAAATTTCGAGCAAAACTATAAACACTTTTTAATTATGTTATCGATACAAAATATTTATAAATGTTGTAGATGATTAAGTTGAATAATCTAATCGATTATTTTTAATAAATCTTTCTTTTCAACATTTAATTTTAATTTATAAGATTTAAACTCGATATTTAATAATTTTAATTTATAAGACTCAAATATTTTATTTAAAAAGACTAAATTAATATCACTCACAGAGTCACATTAGGTACTTATTGATATCAAATTAACTGTGTAGAACATCACTTTCGAGTACTAAATTATGGTGCCAAATGCACATTCCATGTGTACTTGCAACATTTCCGTCATGATTAACTAATGCTAATAAAGATAAGGACCAGAGTGAATGATGAACTGATGGACTAAAGTCAGGAGAACATTTTTTTTTTTAGGAACTAAAGCAATTGATTCCGGTATTTTTAAAAACTAAATTGATGATTGTTTTATTATATTTAAGATTTTGAGAAAATATTGGCAGTTCTTTTCTTTTTCTTATTGACTAAAAATCATGTCGGAATTACAAAAGTTATGTAAAACTCACTAAGTTTCATATAAATTTGAATTAACTTTGAAAGTGTGCGGAAAATAATCTTTTATTTACTTTGCGCTAAAATTTACTCAAATGCGCAAATTTATTATCTTAATATATATGATGTGCATAGCTTATTTTTGTTGTTAATCAGGAATTACCACACACATACACATGTTTTCATGTTGGTGAGATATTATCTGTTTTGGATCTAGTCTTCACAGTTTGTTTTTGAACATTATGTAAAAGGTCTCTTGACCAATAAAGATAAGTGTGTATATAAATTTATGTTCATCCTCTTCTTTAAATGATGTAGAACTTTTCTTGCATCTCAATAATTTTGAGTCAAATCATAGTGCTTACAAAGCATATATATATATATATACTTTAGATGGTGGGAAGAAGAGGAAAAATAATAATAATAACAAAGCATATATATATATACTTTAGATGGTGGGAAGAAGAGGAAAAATAATAATAATAATGTTGCATGTGCAACAAATTTAAAAGAGCTACTTAACAAACCCCAAAATAATTGATGACGAAGGTCCAGCAGAAGAAATAAATGCAGCATCACTTATCACACAGTATTGAAATATATATATATATATATATATATTATATATAAGTGACTAACAAACACATTTCATTCTCAATAAAACATATACGCAATTTCCTTATATGATATGTTCCCAAAACAAAATATCATATAGGAATATACGAGTATAATTTACTACTTTTTTTTTATCAATCTCATGTTTTTTAAATCCCAAAGGTCGTTTAACAAAAAAAAAAAAACTTGTTTTATGCAGCTACCCGATTCTGCACTCTAAATTTCAGATATTTTGCCCTTCCAATAAACAATCTATAATCTTGTAGCCCCATTTACATCCTATCATAAAAAGGATAATATTCATTTTTCAATTTTTTTATATAGTTAAGTTAATGTTTTAGTTTTTACTTTTAACTATTTTTATCTTAATTTCTACATAATAAAATCTCTACATGTACTAGTTCTTACATGAAAAAATATTTGTGAATGAATCCCTATCCTTTGTCAAAATTACAACAGTGTTATTATTGTTTGCTGAGTTGATTAAGTTAAATTAAAAACTTGATTCCTCTATTTGATATTGTAAATTGTTCTGCGCATCAAAAAAAAATTGTACACTTCATTTTAGTTTTTCTGCAAAAGATAAGTCTATATTTTGACCCTTAATTACATATAGGACAACTCATTAAAATCCAATATTATAATCTGCACATTTCATTTTGGTGTTTATATAAAAAGAACTAGATTTTAGTTTGAACTTTACATAAAGGACAATTCAATAAAATCCAACATTAATTGTACTAACTTTAACAAATGGTAGAGACTGATTTATAAACATTTTTCATGTAAGAATAAAAACGTGACATTTATTTGTGTATCAAAAACTAAAATGAAGAATTGTATCATATAGAGATTAATATAAATTAGTTCCATTTTTTTATTTAATTTTTTTTACCTGAATAAAAAGGAAGTGAAGGAGAAGTGAGAAATTTTAAATATATAAATAATTTTATTATTATATATTTTTAAATATAAATAGAGTAAGTGTTGTCATTTATAGTAGTTTTACATCGTTCGAACCTAATATATGGGTCAAAATAATGAATGAAGATATATGTGTTCTCTCATTAAATACAATTCGTTTGTATATATTAAAAAGGTTACTCTCTTAAAGAATACCACATGTCACTATTGATAATATCTCTCTTTAGTTTAAAGTTGAAATTATTTTAAATTAATTATGCATATGATTTTTAAATTTTAAATATTTTCAACCAATTTTAATTTTAGACTTCTTCTGAACCTAGTACATTGTACACCTATATATATATACCTAATTTTAAAAATATTCACGCAATATAGACAATACTTTCTAGTCCTTGTTGCAGAAATAATTCTTTATATTTTTAATGTGTATAATTACTTAATTTGTTTAATATCAAAAGGCAAATGCTATAGCGAAATGGTTAAGTAAATGAAAGGAGAAATTAGTACTTTCAAAAAAAAAATCAAATTAAAACTGAAAACTGATAGAAATGAGCTTAATTAATTTTGTCTATGAATATATAATGGAAGATTTCGGTGGTAATGCTCATCTCTCTGCTACTTTCATTATTGTCAAATATTAGTTTGGAAATCGTTAAATAAAATATTATCAATCATTATATTATTCTCTCTGTAACATTGTAAAAAAAAAAAAAAAAAAAAAAAAAAAATCTAACTTTTCTTATCGCATCCAATAGCTCAGGTGTTATATTTTTGTATTGTATCATAAAGTTGTGAAGAGTGTTTGACGCCATAAGTGCTTCCTTTCGCGTAACAGGCTCCAAAGACACTGTATCATCTTCGCTGTCATCCTCTGCATTGTTCTCAATGATAGTACCCACAATATCTTCTAAACTCTGAACCTCCGAACATGCTTCATTTTCACCTGGGTAGTTCATTAGATTGTCGATATCCATCTTATTACGATAACCACATTAATTGATCATAGTCTTGAGGTCTTAAGTTTCTTCATCAAAACTGGATTCATCCAAATTTCTTGCAACGTCACTAGCTGAACGAATTTTACAGTGTTGGAAGCAATTCGCTATTATTTCTTTTCGAACATCTATCGTCCAAGCTGGGATTGCCAAATTAATAGCATCAAGGACATTTATCTTCCCTGGATCAGATTGTTCCACCTCATAACCTTCCAATATTTTGTGGTAAAACCTTCTACGGTAATGCATCTTGAAAGATCTTATTATCCCAGCATCGCAAGGTTGAATCTTTGATGTCATGTTGGGTGGTAAGAAGAACAACTCAACGCTTCTTAGCCCTTCAATATTTCTTGGATGTGCTGGACAATTATCCACCACAAGTAGAACTCTTCTACCATGCATCATTTGGTCAAATGAACGAACATATTCATCAAAAAGCACACTAGTCATCCATGCTTTTTTGTTAGCTCGATACTTTATTGTTTTCCCCTTTGAGTTAGACCCCGAGTTGTGTTGGTACCATGCCCATGCAGCGGCTTTCACAAAGGCTGAGTCGTCGTTGGTTGTCTTGTTATTGTTGTTGTTGTCGTCTTTTTTAGGCTTTCTTCTCTCCATGAGAAGGGTTAGAAAGGAAGGCTTCGTGGCCATGAGTGTGATGTGAGAATGTGTGGGAAAATTAAGTTCCACGCAATGCAATAGAGAAAAAGTGAGTAGGTTTGTTTGTTCAATTCATTTCATTCTCTGTTCTTGTGGTTGTGCACTTTCATGTGTCAAGAAAAGTATAAGTCACAATAACTAATTATAACATGGTTTGGCCCATGTGGTTGTCAGATAATTGTATTTAATCACTAGATGCGTGTGTAATTGTGCATGAAAAAACATCCATAAGAAGGGATAAGTCTTTTAGTATTTTAAAAAAAAAAAAAATTTATAATTATTTTATTGGTTTGAAAAAATTTCATTAAAGATTAATCTCTAGAGAAAATCTAACTTGATTGGATCTTCTTTCTAAATTTTTATCATCTACATGAGATCTTATTTGAGAAGGCTAACTTCAATATTACTCAAATCAATTATTAATTAATCTTTAATTTTAGACTAAAAAAAGGTAATTTTAATTTAGTTAAAAAAGAAAAAAGAAAAGAAAAGTATTCGAGAGGTTCTTGCACTGTGGTGGGCTGGGCTCAAGCTGGTCTTCCGTGTGGTGTTGTCAGAAATTAATGGGATCATTTAATTTGGACGCGTGTAGTGGGCCCACTGCGGGCCCTCCTACGAGAATAGGTTCGTTTGTTTGTTATATATGTGGGAAAGGTATATATTGTTCGTTGATGCTTTTTATTCTCATAATTTAATTTTATAAAAGAAGTCATTTTCATATAATAACGTGCCAACTTCTTGTAAGGTTTTTGAAGGTCACAACCACTGAAACCAAGATGTTTGCAATTCACCGGTGTCGTGTGATATATATGGAGTTATTATAATTTGTAAAAAGTTTGCGTGTGATAACTTCAGTTGTAATTTGCAAAATAGTGAGAAGTAATATATGTAAGTGATGAAAAATATTAAATTTCACTATTTATTTAAAAAAAAAATTATTAGTATAAAAGTTTATTTATACAATTTATTTATTTATTTCGAATTTTTTTTCCCACTCATCTAAATAAGAAGAGACAAAGTTTTCTATTTTTTCTTTTCATTTCTGTACATCCAAATAACCCATTTTCACTCTTTATTTTCTACTTTCTATCATTACTATTTATTTTTACATACAAGAAAAAAATTCCTTTTATTTTTTATTTTTTTTTTTCAAATTCACTTCTAATCCAAGAAGATCTGTGACGGAGAAATAAGTTAATTAACCGGATCAAAATTTGCCTCAACTCACTACCCGTTTTAAGAGTAAGTTGGAAATCCTACCTAAACTCAATCCTGCCTTGGGTTGCTTTGTCACGATTTTTTAAAATTAGATTATAAAAAGGTGATTAATTGATTGACCAGCCAAATAAATAAATAAAACAAAACAAATATAAATCATCCAAATATAACTATAAAATATCTCAACAACACTTTTTTATATACAAAATTCAAATTCAAAATCTTACTTAAACAAATCAAGTTTAATGACACTTGAATCAATAAGTAATGTGAATAAAATTCAAATTGATTTGAATCAATCCAATCTATTTTAAAAGATTCGATTCATTTTGAGAAGAAAAAAATCCGAATTAATTTATTATGTAAAATCGATTCAATTCTTGATCCATTTTTATAAAGTGCATTGATTTAGTTCGATTCAATTTTTCTATAAAAAAAAAATCAATTCATATGTAGGTATAAAGTCAATAATCGCATTGTATTAAATTGATCCGATTTTAAAAAAATTGATTCATATTTTTAAAAAATTGAATTAATTTGGTTTATAAAATTGAATCATTTAATCAATCTACTTTTATAAAGTAGATGATTCAATTAAAATTTTTAAAAAAATTGGTTCATGAACATCTCTATTAACAACTTGTTGGTCAACCTACCTATTTAGTTTGTTAATGCTCCTTGTAATATCATATTATCACATATCAATATTTAAGTGACACATAATAAAAAAAAATTAATTTATAAAGATAATGAATGATATTTAGTTACATGTCACATAAAAATTGAATTAAATTTATAGATCACAATGAATGAAATTTAATTACACATTTTTTTCATAGACAAAATTTAAACTCAAAATATTACTTAAAAAGATCAAATTCAATATCATTTAAATTAATAATTTGTTAGTCGATCTACAGTAGAAACTCTTTAAATTAATACTCGGTAAATTAATAAACTCTTTAAATTAATACTCGGTAAATTAATAAACTCTTTAAAATAATAAATTTATCCAGTCCTGATTTGGGTCAATGTAAAAAATTGAAAAACTCGATAAAATAATAAGATAATAATTTTTCGGGAGATCCTTTTATAAATTTCGGTCCCAAGAAAATCATAAATTAATAATTCATAGAAACTGAAAAAAATATATTACACTCTATTGAAATATGATTCGATAGTTGTCTGTTTTCCTTTAAAGTTCAAGTCTATTTGGAGCTCATCTCTAACTTTTCTTATTGCATCCAATAGCTCAGGTGTTGTATTTTTGTATTGTATCATAAAGTTGTGAAGAGTGTTCGACGCCATAAGTGCTTTCTTTCGCGTAACAGATGCTTCGAATAACATTTTGATTTCCATGATTTTAATATTGAGACGTAAAACGAACGAATTATAAGAAGATATGGCACAGAACAATTAATACACACTTTTCTTTTATAGCTATTCAAAGCCCCTGATTTGTACCAGTTGTCATTTGTGGCAAATATGCTTCGAAAAGAGTAGAGAAAAGAGAGGAAAATACCTATTATTAGGAAACGTTAGGATACTAAAAGATAATTGCAGTAGAAACTCTTTAAATTAATACTTGGTAAATTAATAAACTCTTTAAAATAATAAATTTGTCCGGTCCTGATTTGGGTCAATGTAAAAAATTGAAAAACTCGATAAAATAATAAGATAATAATTTTTCGGGAGATCCTTTTATAAATTTCGGTCCCAAAAAAATCATAAATTAATAATTCATAGAAACTGAAAAAAAAATATATTACACTCTATTGAAATATGATTCAATAGTTGTCTGTTTTCCTTTAAAGTTCAAGTCTATTTGGAGCTCATCTCTAACTTTTCTTATTGCATCCAATAGCTCAGGTGTTGTATTTTTGTATTGTATCATAAAGTTGTGAAGAGTGTTCGACACCATAAGTGCTTCCTTTCGTGTAACAGATGCTTCGGATAACATTTTGATTTCCATGATTTTAATATTGAGACGTAAAACGAACGAATTATAAGAAGATATGGCACAGAACAATTAATGCACACTTTTCTTTTATTGCTATTCAAAGCCCCTGATTTGTGCCAGTTGTCATTTGTGGCAAATATGTTTCGAAAAGAGTAGAGAAAAGAGAGGAAAATACCTATTATTAGGAAACGTTAGGATACTAAAAGATAATTACAGTAGAAACTCTTTAAATTAATACTCGGTAAATTAGTAAACTCTTTAAAATAATAAATTTGTCCGGTCTTGATTTGGGTCAATGTAAAAAATTGAAAAACTCGATAAAATAATAAGATAATAATTTTTCGGGAGATTCTTTTATAATTTTCGGTCCCAAGAAAATCATAAACTAATAATTCATAGAAACTGAAAAAAAATATATTACACCCTATTGAAATATGATTCAATAGTTGTCTGTTTTCCTTTAAAGTTCAAGTCTATTTGGAGCTCATCTCTAACTTTTCTTATTGCATCCAATAGCTTATTAGGTGTTGTATTTTTGTATTGTATCATAAAGTTGTGAAGAGTGTTCGACGCCATAAGTGCTTCCTTTCGCGTAACAAATGCTTCAGATAACATTTTGATTTCCATGATTTTAATATTGAGACGTAAAACGAACGAATTATAAGAAGATATGGCACAGAACAATTAATGTACACTTTTCTTTTATTGCTATTCAAAGCCCCTGATTTGTGCCAGTTGTCATTTGTGGCAAATATGCTTCGAAAAGAGTAGAGAAAAGAGAGGAAAATACTTATTATTAGGAAACGTTAGGATACTAAAAGATAATTACAGTAGAAACTCTTTAAATTAATACTCGGTAAATTAATAAACTCTTAAAAATAATAAATTTGTCCGGTCCTGATTTGGGTCAATGTAAAAAATTGACAAACTCGATAAAATAATAAGATAATAATTTTCCGGGAGATCCTTTTATAATTTTCGGTCCCAAGAAAATCATAAATTAATAATTCATAGAAACCGAAAAAAATATATATTACACTCTATTGAAATATGATTCAATAGTTGTCTGTTTTCCTTTAAAGTTTAAGTCTATTTGGAGCTCATCTCTAACTTTTCTTATCGCATCCAATAGCTCAGGTGTTATATTTTTGTATTGTATCATAAAGTTGTGAAGAGTGTTTGACGCCATAAGTGCTTCCTTTCGCGTAACAGGCTCCAAAGACACTGTATCATCTTCGCTGTCATCCTCTGCATTGTTCTCAATGATAGTACCCACAATATCTTCTAAACTCTGAACCTCCGAACATGCTTCATTTTCACCTGGGTAGTTCATTAGATTGTCGATATCCATCTTATTACGATAACCACATTAATTGATCATAGTCTCGAGGTCTTGAGTTTCTTCATCAAAAATTGATTCAACAAAGTATATTTTATATAATAATATTTAATAAATATTTTAACAAAATTTTGATATAAAATTTATAATATTTTTTTAAATTATAAAAACTAAAAATAAATGTATCTTCAATTTAAAAACTAAAAATATATATAAGTATATAAGTTTACAAATTAACATTATTCTCTTAAACTCTTCGATCTCTTCTTACACCACATTCGAAAATAGCAAAGCGGAGTCGTACTATTTTTCCTATTCGTGTCTTATATATCCACTAACTTGCTCTACAATCATTGTGTGATTAATTGTTTCATATCATGTTCTTTATCGTACCAAAAAAAAATAATGTTCTTTATAAATTTTATTATTTTCTTTTATTTCATGGATAAAATTTAAAATGA